AGAGGGGGGGAGGGGGAGGGAGAGAGGGGGGGGAGGGAGGGAGGGGGGGGAGGGAGGGAGGGAGAGAGGAGGGGGAGGGAGGGAGGGAGAGAGAGGGGGAGGGAGGGAGAGAGAGAGGGGGAAGGAGGGAGAGAGAGACCCCCTGAATTCAGCCATGTTCTGCACCGCTGTGTCTGACATTGCAAAGCAGCACACAGACCTAAAGTGGTTGTGAACCTCATACATGAAATATGAACAAAGCATGTCCCTCTATAGCAGGGGTGCTCATCCTGTGGCCCTCAGAGCCCTCGGATGTGGCTCTTGAACTCAAACAAGGGAAGCACACTTCTATTATATCACACATATACAGTATATACAGTAACCCCCCGGTTCACACCTTTGCGGCCATGTGAGCCGTGTTTTGCGCGGGCACGACAGCCCATTCATTTTAATGGACTCCTGTGCCCCGTGACACGCAGGGAAGAAGTCCCTGCACTTCTTTGGAAACCGCAGCCCACACGGGAACCTCCACTGCGGTTTTGATTTCCAGTGCGAACGGCGTGCCATTAGAATGAATGGCACCTGCCCACGGGTCCACATTCTTCTGTGCGGGTGGTGCAGTTGCACGGATTTTTTGTGCGGATCCGCAGCGGCACAGATGGGAACCAAACCTAAGGGCTCGTTTACATTTGCGGTTTGAGGGGACGGTAAAACTTCACAGTTGAGACGAGTTTTTACCACACATCCCCAACTACTGGTGCAGCGTCATGGTGACCCTGCCCCATGCTCCAGGGGGGCCCCATGTGGCCTCCTTGTCACAATCTGTTTTACACAGGGACAGGAGGGGAGGCATATACAGGAACCGATGCACTCCATTTTTCTCCTGCAACCACTGAAAGCCGGCTTCTCCTTCTCTCCTTCCCGCCGGCATTCAGCGGCTGCAGAAGAAAATGTTATTCACATAAAAAAGAAAATCTGAAATTATGAACCATGTCATTTGACCGTTTACCAAATCACTTAAGTGGCCCTCACTCTACAAAGGGTTGAGCACCCCAGCTCTATAGTGTGTCTCAATCCAGAGTACTAAGTGTGATTTCTGTCTGCTGCCCCATTCCTCGACTATCAGCAGGTTTTCATGACACCAAGAGACAAAAAAATGACAGGGAAGGGAGCTCCAGCACACAGCCTGTGACTGACAGCCTCAGCACTGTCCCTGTGTCTGTGTAAAGGGAGGGGAGGGGTATCCATTCCCTCCAATCAGCTCTCACAGAGTGTAACTTCAGCTCTCTATCCCCTGATTTCTGGTAGCTCAGAAAAAATATTATAAAATATTGTAATTTGAACAGATGAAGAGGAGAGATGACCTCAGATAAACCGGTACAACTTATGTAGGAGGATTTGTTTCATCTCTTTGCATCACCTGAGGCCAGTCCCTTCACTCGGTATATAAGGGGTCACTACTACTAAAAAACAGGAGCAACCACAGTATAAAGCCAAAAGCAAATATTTTATATATTGCAGCTTACTGGCTGCATTAGATTTCTTTTCGTTTTTTTTTTATTTGGTGATCCTGCCAATAATACACTTCCTGTCTTAAAGTTTAACTAAAGGCAAAACTTTTTTTTTCATTTTGGATAAGAGTAAGGGAGTGTTACTAACCGGTGTCAGTTTTTTGGGCTTTTTTGCAGTCTGTGCCCCATGGAGAGATTTTACTTCACTACCTGATGCATAACCAAAACAGGAAGTGACTGGAAATCCCTTCAAAGAGGGTTGAGAGAGAAATCCTGAATGTCACCAGAAGTAGTGTGCCCTACGCTCGAATATGATATGATGACAACCCAAAATTTTTTATTTTCTTTTACTTTCAGAGATAAACAGGGAGGGTGGCACAGATGGCAAAAAAAAAAAGACATGGCAGGGGTTCATATACCTTTCCACTTGGTCCAAAACTTCAAAATAAAGTTTTGCCTTTCATTACACTTTAACCACCTGCCTATCAGGCGCTTTTTGACATTTCTCTCATACATGTAAAAATCTGCTTTTTGCTAGAAAATTACTTAGAACCCCCAAACAGTATATATAAATGTTTTAATCAGAGACCCTAAAGCGTTACTAAACCAGGACCCCGCATTCGCTATAGCCGGTCTCCCGGACCCCGCATTCGCTATAGCCGGTCTCCCCGGACCCCGCATTCGCTATAGCCGGTCTCCCCGGACCCCGCATTCGCTATAGCCGGTCTCCCCGCACCCCGCATTCGCTATATCCTGTCTCCCCGCACACCGCATTCGCTATATCCGGTCTCCCCGGACCCCGCATTCGCTATATCCGGTCTCCCCGGACCCCGCATTCGCTATATCCGGTCTCCCCGGACCCCGCATTCGCTATATCCGGTCTCCCCGGACCCCGCATTTCCTATATCCGGTCTCCCCGGACCCGCATTCGCTATATCTGGTCTCCCCGGACCCCGCATTCGCTATATCCTGTCTCCCCGGGACCCCGCATTCGCTATATCCGGTCTCCCCGGACCCCGCATTCGCTATATCCGGTCTCCCCGGACCCCGCATTTCCTATATCCGGTCTCCCCGGACCCCGCATTCGCTATATCTGGTCTCCCCGGACCCCGCATTCGCTATATCCTGTCTCCCCGGACCCCGCATTCGCTATATCCGGTCTCCCAGGACCCCGCATTCGCTATATCCGGTCTCCCAGGACCCCGCATTCGTTATATCCGGTCTCCCAGGACCCCGCATTCGCTATATCCGGTCTCCAGGATCCCGCATTCGCTATATCCGGTCTCCCAGGACCCTGCATTCACTATATCCAGTCTCCCACAGTACACACAACTTGAAAATGAAATTATTTTACTAAATATAAACTGCGAAATACCTTTTCTCATCAGCAGCTAGAGCGGTCTTGTGACTTCTATCAGTGTCCAGCAAAGCACTGGTTAAAGCTTGTAGGAGGAGTTTTCATTCTCCTCTCAATGCCCTATGAGGCTGCATAACCCCTGACCCACTGTCTGGACAGCATTGATTGGCCCTGTGCTGATCCAAGAAAAAGAAAAAAAAAAACTCTAGCAATACACACACCAAACTGAGCATGTGCAGAGTGTCCCTGAGGCTGTGTTCTATCAGGCGATGAAATGGGGAACGTGGAAGAAGGGGAGGATCAGAGAAGACCGGATCAAACAGCTTTTTTACACGAGGATTGACCCCTTAGGTTCCAAAAGCATGCTTTACTACATATAGACTGATTTTACAGTTGAGGGGTTAGTAACACTTTAAAGCTGATCGTCATCTGATGCTTTTTAAGCAGTTACAGCAATTCATTTTTTCCTTTTTGGATAAAGGTTTTACATAAATAAAAGCTGAACATTGTGAGCACCCCTGTCAGTGTTAAATGGTTTGTCCCAACTCACTAACTGCCACTATTGCTGGATAGCTTGGTCTTTCACCCAGGCCAACTGACTCGTAAATTAGAAGGGAAGTAATGGCTATTCAATGGTTTATGGATTTGATTGCTTAGATCAAATCACACATTAATTGAATAAAAAAACATTTTTTGCCTCTCTTTTCAATTGGGGATCTGGCTAGTAATGCTGGCGATAGACGAGTACATTTTTTTTTCATTCAGCCCACTGGCTAAATAAAAAAAAAGTTAAACAGATTTCTCCATGCACACAAGTGAGGGGGATGGAGGAACCCCTCCTGCCGAACATTGTATTCTGACAGCAGGACCCAGCACTGTCAGAACACACTGATCAGCAGCTGCAGCCACTGATCAACAAAAGTTTTCCAACCTCTCCGCCGGACAGAAGTCAATCTAAGGCTCCATGCACACCAGTTTATTCCTCATCTCCTTAGGCTACTCGAGCGTACTCTGACCGCCAGCCACTGGGAAATTCAAATCACGGCAAAAAAGAAGTACCGTGTTTTGCAGAGGTTTTACCGCATTTTGCGTTTTCCCACCACATCTAATGACTGGTAAGCTGCAATGTAATACATTTATGTTTTTGGGGGTTTAATCAGATTTAAGAAAACTGTATACAGGAAAGGATGATGCCGAACATCCTGAAAAATAGATGTAGGCTTTACATCCCCTTTGTGGCCGGCATTAAAGGATAAAATGACTCAATTGATCTAATTCAGGAGCAGATTTCGGAATTCCTGGAAACCTCAAGACAACTAAATATAATGACAAGAATCTGTCCTCATTACAGGACAGCCGTGCCTTGTGTCGCCGCAGACGCACCCCCGGCCGGTCATGTACACATATGCCCTTTTTCCACGACCAAAATTCCTTTCCCAGCCTGTAATGTGAGGCCATTTTCTGCCCAGTTTAAAAGGCAAAGTAAAACCAGTAAGTGATTCCGTGACAACATAGAGTCTCTTTGTGTGTGGGGGAGACGCAGAAGGCAGAGGCTGTCCCCGCTGGAATAGAATTCACATGGCATAAGTACAGACATGTCATTACCATACCTCTGTACCCCCCTTCCCATCCCCCGTCATACTACCCCACTGCCTGGCTGATTACATGCATACATTTACATACCTGGCTTAAAGAGACCCTGTCACCGGCTTAAAAATTGTAGGTGAAAGCACTGAGCAATCAAGGATTTTTAAATGCTAGCAGTGTTTCTTTTTTTCCAAAAAAAAAATTTTTTGGCACCTGTAATATGACTCTGAACTTGCTAGAAATTTTGACTATTCCAGGAGTCAATTCTCCAGCACAGCCTCCTCCGTCCTTGCACGTCAGAGCCCTCTTCTCTTCTAAAAGTGTCTAATTATTGTCTGTGCTGGTCCAGCTCCTCCACACCTCCCCTCATCCTTTACGTATCTGCCAGGGGAGGGTGAAGCGGAATACTATAGAGTGCCACCGATGACGGAGTCTGCTGAGGATGCTGACATCACATCCAAGCACCCAGTAACAGTCTTAGGGCTTTTGAATGTCTATACAGGAGAGGATTTTACAGGTACATAACATGCATAAAGTTAGTTAAATGCAGTTATAATCTTCTGGGAAAATTGGTGCTGAAATGAATGATCTGATGACAGGGTCTCTTTAAAGGGGACTTGCCAGGAGGGATGAGAATTGCCAATGTTGAAGTTCCAATACCTCCATCTGGAACTTCAGACGATTGCTAGAGTCCAGCCATGGCTACTATGGAAGCCGCAAGTGTGTTTGGCAAAACAACCTCAAGTGAAATCACATGGCCCCTCTCTCGCATCGGCCACAAGCCCCTCTCCCGCATCGGCCACAAGCCCCTCTCCCGCATCGGCCACAAGCCCCTCTCCCGCATCGGCCACAAGCCCCTCTCCCGCATCGGCCACAAGCCCCTCTCCCGCATCGGCCACAAGCCCCTCTCCTGCATCAGGCACATGCTTGTTCCAGGTCAGTAGCCCACTAGGTAACAGGGTCATAGTGATTGCCTCCACCTTTACAATTATTCAGCAATGGCAGCTACCATATTTCTATACTGACAGGTTCACTTTAAAGTATCTATATATTTCCATTCCAGAAAGTTTCCAATTTTACTCATGTAAAGCAGAACTCCAGGAAACCATTTTGTTCTGTCCCATGCAGTGGGTCTTTGGCCGCACTGCATGGGTTAGCTGCTCGTTTTTGTCTAGGGGTGAGATATGGAGATATACTTACCTAATCCGCCGATCCTCCCAGCGCAAGACCGGTACCCGCCACTCCTGTCAACCCCACCCCCTCTCAAGTCATTCCCGTGAACATTCAGCGCATGGAACGCCTGATCTTGGATAATCGACGCATAATCTATCGTGAAATTGCACAAGAGACCAATCTGTGGGAACGGTGAACACAATGATGGCGAAGTGAAGCCGGCTGTCCTAGGATGGTTCAGGCGTACTGACAAATCTTTCCATGCCGAAGCTCTCCAGGCATTGAACGCTGAGATAAGTGTATAAATACAGCAGGGGAGTATGTCGGAAAATAAATGCACTTTCCACTCCATGAACTTTGTTCTTTTATTATAGAAACTCAAAATTCCCGGTTTGACTTGAATGCCCCTCGTGTGTATAAATCATCCATACCTGGAATTCATCTTTAACAGTTCCAGTCTAAACTTTTTTTCAAAAAACGTATTAGAAAGAATACTTCCGGTTTCCTATTTGATCCCATTGAAGAAATGAAAATACGAAGGATCACAAGCACGCCACTGAAGCAATACAAAAATCAGAACTTTATTGACCACAAAAAGTGAAATGCTCCCAGGCCACTAATGACCCCATTCCTCAGCAGTGACCACGTTTAAATCGCTCAGATCCAGGTGTCGCTGCAAAGGTGTGCTGGTGACAACTTTGCATTATGGACTTTTTTTTGCCATGGTGCCATCGATCTTTTTACCTAAGCACCCAGGGCTGCTGTTAGAAAACATGGGGCCCCATACAGGCAACCTGACAGGTTTACTAAGCTTATGTTATGAGCACAATGAGTGATCAGTACCGATCACTCATTGTGTTCATTCAGGAAAGGAGGGGGCTGGTAAATATGACATATTTACCGGATCCTTCCCCCACTCTCCATCCTGAAGGATCCTGCTGTGTGCATGCATCTACTGGTGGGAAGGGGAGGAGGAAAGCTGGCAGCACTGCAGGTGTGGGGGCACACAGGTGGGCCTGGGGAGCAGGGGAAAAACCTATGGTGTACAGGGAGAGTTATATGTGAGGTAGGGGGGTGCTTACAGGGCCCTCGATAACGGGGTACCCCCCGTCCTCCTGTACAGGGCCCAGGGCTGCATGTGGGCCCAGGCAGTCGGGTGTGGTCAGGGAGGGGGTGATCGGCATGACAGGGGGGGCAATTACTGGAACAGATCCCCTGTATGCCTCTCTTTGCAGTAGCTGAAAGTCAGCAGGAGGGAGAGGAGAAGAAGCCAACTTTCAGCTGATACAGAGAGAGCCATACAGGGAATCAATTCCAGTAATTGCCCCCCTGTCATGCCGATCATCCTCCCTGCCACGCCCAACTCACCCAGCTGCCTGGGCCCTCCTGCTGCCCTGGGCCCTGTACAGGAGAACTGAGGGTGCCCCCTTATCGACAGCCCTGTAAGCACCCATCATTATTCAAGGTGTACGGCTATAAGAAGTGTGCTGGGCTCTATGGATACTGTATATGACCCACTGCAGAGATTGCAAAAGTGAGTATTCTTTCAGTCTGTTCTCCCAGAGAAATGGTGGCTGTGTTTGTCCGACGATGGGAAATCTCTACAATGGAGGCACACACTGCAGTAAAAAAAACGGACAGGGGTCCTATTCCACTCTGTTCAAAACCTAAAAAACGTAACATTATCTGTTACTATTGTGAGTCGCCCTTTAATCTAGCCCACCATGCTATGATTCCAGTGCAGAGCCCACACCGGCCCATTGTTTCCACTATCAAGTAATGTTTCCTGGACTCCGCTCAGTGGTTGCTTCTGTACAAGGAAACAGTGTCCGACCATCCACATAACTCCCCTCTGCTTTACAATAGGAGGGGGTTGGAGAGGCTGTGGGATGA